TCTTGAGTAAGAAAGTGCCATAAATATTCTTCCAAGGAGTAGCTTGTGGATAATGTATGGTTATATACTGTAACTCGGTACACAAATGTTAGTTATTCTTGTTCCTAGTATTTAACATATATGGAAATCTGCTTCACAATCTATAATTGTGCTAATAAAAACAGGTATTTGTGAATATAAATTATATTGGTCATAAAATCAGCCTTATTAACCTAATATATCTTAGAGCAAGATTGAATTTAAATGGGCCACTCTGGTAACACAGATATCCGAAAACACGGTTTATTGTACTGTAGAAGTATCTATCAGAATAACACAAAAGTTTCTCTATGCTTCATGTAACGTTAACATCTTGAATTTGAATCTTCAAAACAGTAAAAAAACAACAATGTCAGGCATGCATATTTGCCAAGTTCAAATAATGTGTTTGTATAAGGGAAGTAAAATAAGTACATTCATTAATTAGCACCTTTCCTAGAGTCCCATCCGGGTTATTTATTTTAGCAGGTGGACCATCGGAAACAGCCATCAGGTCCCTAAGTCAATAAAATACCTTCGAATCTCCAGTGTTTTGCATTTTATCACAGAGATTCCAAAGACATTCAACTTTTTTTTTTTTTAAGATTTTATTTATTTATTTGACAGAGAGATATCACAAGCAGGTGGAGAGGCAGGCAGAGAGAGAGAGAGGAGGAAGCAGGCTCCCCACTGAGCAGAGAGCCCAATGCGGGGCTCGTTCCCAGGACCCTGGGATCATGACCTGAGCTGAAGGCAGAGGCTTTAACCCACTGAGCCACCCAGGCGCCCCTCAACTTTCTTTTATGGTAACTATGATCCTTCCCCTGTTTAATGAATGAGGTATCCATCATAAAAGAAATATAAACAAAGGCCTGATTTTAAAACTATGGATGATTCTTCTTCACAACTACAGGTAATATATCGTGCATCATGGTATAAATGCACTATAAAATGGGGGGTACCCCTCGGTGAGAGTAGGGGAGGTGGGCTTTATAACCAATGCAAAGGAGGGGGTAGGCTAAGGAGGTGGGGGCCCTTCACCACTGGAAATCATCAGGGTTAAGGAAATGAATGGTACTTACTCTTCAAAAAAAAAAGAAACCTGCCCTAGCTATGGTGCTGAAGACACACAGAGACTTAACATTATCACACTGTGTACTTCAGGAACGTATTTCCAGATGTGCAAAGATTTCTCCAGTTACTTGAATCTGAACATCTAAGACCATCAGATTATGTGTCTACATTCTACATCAAAGGCCTGTATACATTCTGCAATCATCTCTTAAAAGAAGGCCCCACAGGCCGGGGCCACCACCTATGATTCCAACACCAGTTACTATTAGAAATGAGGCTCAAAATAGTCAAAAGAAGATCATCCCCCGAGAAAGGTCCTTAAGCTCTCCTAGAGTACCTCACCCCCACCTGCCAGCATGACGGCGTGACAAGCACATAGAACTTAATCATAATTCCCCGCATGGGTTCTAAAGGCCTGACTTACTCAACCAGGATGGCCATGTTAACCTAAAAACCGAACTGCAAACCTGAATTATCTCACAGTTTTAAAAGACCAACCACAAAGAGACAAGACAAAATGTCTTTGTTTGCACCAAGGCTGAGGACGTGATTTTTTTTTTTTACTTTATAAATGATTTTGATATTTTAAAGGACTTTTTTTAAAAACCATGCTAATCTAAGACCTAGTAATTATTACTTCGAAACGACAGAAGCTATTGTTCATGGAGAAATTTTCAGTTGGTTTTCTCATACCAGTGGTTCAATTGAAAGATTTACCAACTGCTCCCTGGAGAAAACAGCAGATCTGCATTTAAATGGAGATATAGTATTTCCAAATGCACAGTACCTAGAAGGCAGATACTGTCAAGGTTTCTTAGTGAGAATAACTCAAATTGTATTAGGTACATCTCGATGCTGTAGTCATCTCCATTCTCATAGGGCTCTGTCTGTTTCCATCCCATCCTTTCTCCTCGGTGCATTCTTCATAACATTTGTCCCAAGTAGTTAAAATTAAACCTTGCTCCACTGCAAACCCCCCACACGAACAACCAGCAATTACTACTGCACATATCATTTCTGATGTGTACAGAAAAAAGACCACAGAAGATAGGTTGGCCAGAAATGTTAAATAATTGAAAAGTATAATGACTTAATAGAGTAGTAAGCTTAGTTTACAATGCAGCCAATTTAAAACCATAAAAATAGTGTGTAAAAATTTTATCTTGTGGTTGACCATTACATATCCTATCTATTATTCAAAAGTATCTCAACACTGTTTTTCTTCATTAATGTGGCTTTTGGCATTTCCCTCAAAATCTTTTTGGTCCCGCAGTTTTCCAACAATTTTGAAACAAACACAAAATTCCTGCATAAAGTCACCTCACCAGGATCACGAGCTCTTCCATATCTAATTGAAATTAATTTTATAGGTCAATCCGTAAGGCATTCTCTAACTTCCTTGAAGATGATTTGTTTTGCATTTAAGGCAGTCAAGCCCGCAAGACATTTCAAGAAAGAAACAAGACTACAGCTACTTGTATCGACACATCTGTAAACAAAAGGAGAACCTCATAAATAACCCCTTTCCTGCGACACACTAATGCAGGGTTTGTCTATATTAGACAATGTCACGGGGCATCAGGAAAGTTTTGCCTTGAGTGTTTGACTGAGGTGTGCATAGCATGTCTGTGAAGGAGAAAAAAGAGATACTTGGGATCCATTTCAAACATAAGCCCTTTGGGGTGCCTGGGTGGCTCAGTGGGTTAAAGCCTCTGCCTTTGGCTCGGGTCATGATCCCAGAGTCCTGGGATGGAGCCCCACATCGGGCTCTCTGCTCAGCGGGGAACCTGCTTCCTCCTCTCTCTCTCTGCCTGCCTCTGCCTACTTGTGATCTCTGTCTGCCAAATAAATAAATAAAACCTTAAAAAAAAAAAGTAAGCCCATTAACACTGGCAGGCTCTTGCTAAAATTCTAGCTGCATCCCAGATGTCTCTTGTTGGGTTTGTCTCTAACCAAACAAGGTGACTGAGAACAGCCCCAGAAATTCTGTGCGACACTTTCCCCATCCTTCTGCTGTCTGCCTAGCTAGTCATACCTTGTCTTGCTGCCCTGCCATTCTCATGCTGATTCAAGTTCAGAACTCAAAATGAAAGATGAAATATCTTGAAGATCACTTAATATTGAAATACCATTGCAGTAATAAGCGGTGCTCAGTTGGAGATGGGAGCATGGTACTCTCCTGGTAACCTTTTAATTTCTGGAAAAATTGTACAGAATAAATTGAGTGGCACACACATGGAAACCTAATCGATTGATCTGCTCTATTTTGTTAAAGCACCACCTATCAGAAAGTGTCTTTGCTCCCTGTTGCAATCCCTGTTCAAGAAGACCAGCAGATTTCAGCCACACCATGCACAAAGATTTAAATGCCATTTTGATTTACTGAAGAAAATAAATCATCTTTCCTCCGCGTTCACCGCCCCAGTCAACAGACAGTCCTACGTGCCACCTGACACCTTTCTCAATACACACACCTCTCTGTCACGTGAGTTTACAGAGTTACAAGAATTGTTTTAGTAAAAACAACAGTCATGCGTAACAGGCAAGTACACTGGGTCATCTGGGCCTGTGTAACGATATACTTGAACCTTTTCGTATTCGAAGGGGAAAAAAGTGCCATCAGTGTCACTTGATCTCCATCCACGTTTTCAGGGACCTCATTTCCTTTGGCTATTCCTCAGCTCAGACTTGAGAACTGTTTAAATTTCCCTCTCTTTCCCACAATGATAGGACCGTCTCTTAGGTTGGCTACCTCATTCTGATAACATCAAGTCCACTGGACTCGGGGGGGGGAGGGAACCAACAACACAAAAAGCATCCTGACACTCTCCCCCAACCCCACTCCCTGCCTTCCCCTTGAGGACATTTCTTCCTCTTTTCTCTTGCCTGCTGCTTCTGAATTTGGGCATTTTCCAAACACACTCCCCTATTTGGTCTTTGGGCAGCGTGAGAAACAAAGGAGAGTTTCTCTTCAAAACTAGACCAAGTCATTCAGCTGCTCTGAAACACTTCAAAACATCCGCAGTTCTCTTGATCCTGCCTTAAAGTATTAAGCAGGAGTGTTTTGAAAGTAGTAGGAGGTCCTGTGTGCACCTAACAGCTTCTCTTAACTCACATGCTGGGCATTTTTCTTTTTTCTTCTTCTTCTTCTTCTTTTTTTTTTTTAAGAGAGAGAGAGAGAGAGAGAGAGAAAGAGAAGGTGCTATTTTCAACATTGCCCTCTGGTTTACGTTAGCAAAATCATTTGCTTTCCGTGTGTGTCTGTGCCCCATCCCAGGGCCAGTGGGTCTGGTACTACAACACAAACACAGCAAATGTGCCTCATCAGCTCCAGCAGACCCATGTGGCAATTCACAACATGACCGAAGCAAGCACAATAAATAAACACATACATAATCATTGCACAGCACTGAGGCAAGAGGGGGGTTTCTCCAGGCCCTCCCGGACTCTTCCAGAATTGCTCATTAAGATTCTGAAAGGGGGAGGGGCTGCAGCTAGGAAAAGGTTGCCAGAAGGGAAGAGAAGGGGAGGAGGGGGGATTTGCCCTCAGTGTCTTTCTCTCTCTGAGAATCTCCCGTCACCCAACATGGGGGCGGGGGGGATTCTATCCTGCAGCCTTTTCTGACATACTTAAGGGGAAGGAGGGGGTGGGTGGTTTGAAATACTTAAATGACGGTCGGGTGACCTCCGTGCAACTTCAGAGACTCCCTCCCTCTGGAAGGTGAACGGGTTTGGGAGCCGGGAGGGAATGAGGCGTAGAGGACAGGAGGAGACACCTAGGACTACGGCAGCAGCAATCACCAGAAGGATTTTCCAGCCCACGACAGCAGTCTCCAACTCCTGACACCGCCCTCTCCCCCAACGACCCCTTCCCCAGAGCCCCCCCGCCCCAGAAGACCCCCGAGGACTCACCCCGACCCCTCCCAGTCCAGTGCCCTAACTCTGCCCTCACTCTTTGCCACTTTCCCAAGCCCTGAAGTGTATCCAGGGAGGGGGATGGGAGAGGTGTTTAAAGAACGAATCTCATTGCAATCAGAATTTATCCGTGTCTCCAGCACACACGCCGACAGTTTTGCAGTCATGGTAAGGCAAGTCGACAAGAGGTGGAGGGTACTTATGGTTGTGTTATTGAGGGAGGGGTTGCTTTTCTTTTTTCTTTTTCTTTTTTTTTTTTTTTTTTTTCCAAGAGACTCTAAACAAGTGAAGGGGGGAAGGGGGTAGCGGTAGAGATTTCAACCAGGACTGCAAATCAAGAACGCCCCAGATGCAAATGTCTGTCTCCAGATGTTGATGATAAGGATTTGGACCAGTTACCTTGGCAGGGTCAAAACTGCAGCAGGTTAATCAGGTGAGTCGTCGGGGATTTTAAAGAAGCCGAAGCCGGTTTCTTTGGCTATGAAAGTCTACAAACCCCCCATGCAGGAACGTTGCACATCTTACACACGCCTCCTTTAACTGGGCTCCCGCGACCTCGGCAGGCGAGGGGGTGCTGGCCGGCCCGCCGGTGGCAAGGGCACGGCCGCCGGCTCTGCCCCCGCGGGCGCGGGGCCGGCCTGGCCCCCGGGGTCCGCGTCCCGAGCGGCTGTGCACTCACCGAGCCGGGCTGCGAGGGGCAGAGGGGCGCCCGCGGCTAGCCGGAGCGCCGAGGCGCCTCCCTTTTCTCTTGGTAGCGTCGGTCCGCACTCCCTGTGACCCAGGACGTCATGATGCCTGTCTGTTTTCTCAATGATAACTTGGCAGAAGAAGAGAGAGGCTGCCAGGTTCTCCTCGGGTGGTTACGTGGTATGTGCACGTTTCTGTTTGCATGCGTTTCTCTCGCTCCCTTCTTAAAAATAAATATCTGTGTTTGAAAAAAAAAAATTCCCGGCACTGTCAGGATTTGATTGCATTATTGCGTTTGCATAATTGACGCCTCTGGGTGTGTATATGTGTGTGGATGTGCGTGTGGGGTTTTTTTTCCCCTTTAAATCCTGCCGCTCCCGCCGCCGCAGCCGCCGCTGCAAAGGGGAAGCAAGCATGCGTTCATCTTTTGTCTTTCATTTTACCTTCAGGGTGACATTCAGTGCCAACTGCTCCCTTTTGACCGTCGCCAATCCCCGCCTGGGCAAAATAAATTTTAAAAACGTGGGGGGGAGGGGAGGGACCGGCCCCGCAGCCCCAGCGCTGGGGTGGCGACTCCCTCCGTTAGCGGACCCCAGACCTACCCCGACCCACCTCCCGCCCCTGAAAAACCCTTTTCCCTTCTACCCACCGGGCCCAGGCAGAGAAGCGGCACCAAGACAGCGAGGAGCATCCACCCCGGGCCAGACACTCATGTTCGCGGCTCCTACTTGCTGACTTGCATCTCGGATGCCTTCTCCGTGTGTAGGCCTCTCACAACTGGAGCTATTTTTGTCTCCCAGAGATGTTCTTTAAAGCCTTTTAAAAATGGGAAGGGGGCAGGGAAGAAAACCGGAGGCGGGGGGAGGAGGGAGAGAAATAAAAGCCCGAGCCCCCTATGTGAAAGGCTCTCCAGACACATCAGGAAATTTGGGGGGCTCCTGGCGCCCGGCCCACCAGGGGAGTTTGCAAGGGCAGAAGGGAGAACTAGCTCTTTATCTGAATTCCTCTACGACAGCAGGAAAACTTTTCCTTCATACAAACCTAGTATTGCTGGCTAGTCCCTGCATTTGTCATTTTTATAATTATGTTCTCTCGCATCAGCATGAAAGGTCTCAACCATAACTCCTGATATTTATTTTTGCAAACATGAGAATGTATTTGACACAGTGTGGCCACGTGACAGGTAAAGCAGAGATCGTGTCCTCTTTAGGACACTTAGTTTCTGTTATTTGTACGTTGGTGTGTTTTCTGTAGTTTCTATTAATCATAACACTGTGCACATTAATCACCATATGCGCATTACTGAAAAATAAATAGTGCCAGGTCTGGCAAATATTTCACCCTCCTTTATCGCAGATACCCCATGTGGAGCAGAAGAATGGGCTTAGGAATTTTATTCCACATGCTTTCTTGTTGTTGTTGTTGACCTTGGTCACCATGGTGGACTGGTAAAGTCACTATTCCCACAGATTCCAAAAAGCCCCTAAAAGATGACAGCATGAGCCAGGGCTGCAAAAAATAAAGTGTGGAGGAGAGTGTCACATCGGAAAAGCAAAGCTGACTGGGAGGAAAAACTTTCTGTCTCACCCAAGATCATCTGCAGCTGCTGTAGGTTTAAGACTAGTTTACCTACTTGAGAGGTTGCCTAAATGGAATGAAAATTGCAAGTAACTTTTCTCTTTAGAGTCATACCCCAAGGATCACTGGAAATTCCATAGGGAGAATACTGTAATTATGCAAAGACCAGATGATCAGAATTGGAAGAGCGCCTCCGTAAAGTAACCCTAAGTGTGTGAGGGCCATTGACTAATAGATCCCCAAACTAGAACAGTGCCTCCTCACCCTTAACAACCAGACACAGCTCTCTGGCCCTTAGAACACCAGAAAGATGGAGCTGGTGCGGTCCTGTCCAGTGCTTAGAGGTCATCGGTGTCAAAGATGATTCTAAAAAAGGCCAGGAAGGGCCTATTCAGAACACGAGTGGGTACCATCTACTGATGTTACTGCTAACATTTTAGTGACTATCCAAGAGTCCAAGAGAGGCTTATTAATATTCAATCTCTCAACCTGCTTCTCTAGCTTTATTACTTATTAGCCTTAGAACCGGACCTTTAAAGAGTCACTGTAAAAAGGAAAAAAAAAAAAAGAGCCATAAAAATTTGACTCACTTTAATTCCTTGAAACCCATTTTTCTTTCCAGACAAATGCCTTCTGTGCCATTTACCAGCCATGGGGTAGATGTCTGAGCACCCAGCAAGGGGTAGAGGCTAGAGTAACTCCCGTTCTCCGGGTTTGAACATATCCTTCCTAAACCCGGATTCTCTGAATCCACCTCTGGCTAAGAGCTGCTCTCTCTTGTTTATTCGAGTCCAAACTCCTCAAGATGACATTCAAGTCTTTATTTTGTGGCCTCACCCTAAATATAATAGTTAATATTGCCGTAGCTTGTTTGGTTTAACTTTCCAACCATATCAAAGCCACCCCCCCAAAAAAATGCTTACTAAGATGGATGGAATGCATGGAAGGTGCTGTCTGAAAATTTGCTTGTGGAGCACACCTGGGTGGCTCATCCCTTAGGCCACTGCCTTCCGCTCCGGTCATGATCCCGGGGTCCTGGGATAGAGCCCCGCCTCAGGCTCCCTGCTCAGCGGGAAGCCTGCTTCTCCCTCTCCCACTCCCCTTGCTTGTGTTCCCTCTCTCACTGTCTCTCTGTCAAACAAATAAATAAAATCTTTAAAAATAAAAATAAAATGTACTTGTGTTTAGAACTTGTAAATCCTCCACAAGAACAGGAGAGAAGGATTATTGGTATTCCCATTCTACCCAAGGAAACTGAGGCACCAAGAAGTTAAGTCATTTGCCAAGAGTTACCCAGCTGGGGTTCAAATTCAAGTGCGTTGAGCCCTCACCATCAAGTTCTCTGCTTACCTACCTATGGACTCAACTTCATGTCTACGCCCTCACATCCTGCAGTCCGGCCACTGCACCCACTGCCCACACCCTTTGTTAACCCCAAGGTCACTGCCTGAGCATTCCACGCCCCCTTCTGCCTCTTTGGTATTCAAATTCTGTTGGTCAAGGCCAAGTTCAAGACCGACTTTGCCCACAAAGCCATTATTTACTATTATTGGGTGTATTGATCATTCTCTTTGTTCCACACTGTTCACTTTTACGTGTGACATCACTGTTCTGTTTCTGAGGTTTATTTTTCATCTCTTCTTCCTCTCTCAATTCCTTTCTGACAGCGTTATGCTTTTTTTTCCCCCTGCCTCTTCCGGTTTGCCTAAGTACGACCCCAGCTGTCCTTAACTCGCTTCCGATGTACTGATGGACACAAAACTGCCCTTTGGAAAGCTAGGACGCCACTTTTCAATCTGATAGAAATTGCAAGTTTGATGTAGGAAAAGTTTTATCCTTTTAACTGAAAAAATTGCAAGCTGGCTTCTCCATATTTCAGATAGTCCATAGAAAACAACCAATTAAGATCAGAGGCGGAATTATTTAATGGGAGAAGCCTATGACGATGAGGTAGAGGTCATGAATGTGGGGAGTGATGGACAAAACTCAATCACTGTGGCTTTTTAGCTGTTATGATCCTCCTTCTGCCATATTTTGAATTTTCTGAGTGTCACGTTAATATTTCTGTTTAGAATTAGGAAAATAAGACTCGTAAATGTGAGACCGGTGACGCCATCATGCATCTGCTACTGACCAACTCTGTGTAACCTCTGGCAAATTATTTTATAACTCTGAGCTGCAGTTTCCCTCTTGCATAAGAAGAGATTTAGCTAGTCTCCAAGGTCCGTCCAACTCTAACCTTCTACAAGTCTGAAACAGGATGTGGCAGAGAAAAAAAAAAGAGGGCTCAGCCTAGGAAGGCTGGGGTTTTTTTTTGGGGGGGGGGGGATACAAAAAGTATGCTAAGGAGCTCAGGTAAAGCTAACAAAGTCCTTAAGTCTAATTTCTGAGTATATGTAAGGGTAGCTCAAAACACAAAATCCATATATGAAAATATTTTCAAACTTGCATTTTCTAAGATGGTCTCATTTATATAGGATAAAAAAATTAATTGAGTGTACCAACAGCCCACGGTATCAGCTACAATATTATTGGCTGTCATTCACGCTTACCTATAACTTACTTTCTTTCCAACACAACCAGATTGTTACAGACCTCACTTGACAGGAACGGATCCAACCATTTTTGCCTGGATGCCTTAGACTCCAATCAGCTTGAATTAAATTGTGAAGCTAGTCGAAAAGCTATGGGTTTATGGTGAGAGACTTGGGGAGCTAGAACCAGACAAGGGTCTCCTACATATTTCCTCTTTGCAACTAACTCTGAGAAAGCCTCCCTCAGTGTTCCTTTCCTTATTTATCCTTACTAGAGACTTACAACTCACTGACCTTCTCACCGGCTTTGGTTAGGATACATGAAACAGCAGAAGCAAAAGCACTCTTCCCACACAACGAAGTATTATCATGGCAGGTAGACTGCACTTTACACCAGAGATGATATTCTAAAATATGGTACAACGTTAACAGAACATAAGGTCCCCTGGCTGCAAATCTAAGTTGATTTCTACTTGCTAGTTATAGGACCACAAAGTCCTACAGCTAGCTGAGGGCAGAATCAGGATGATTGTGCAGAAATCACTTTGTTCCAGTCCATACTCAAAACCTGGTATAAACCACGGGCAAATATTACAGATCATCACATCAACTGGGACCGGGGCAGTTAGAAAACCTATTTCAAACAGAATTTCAGGGGTGCCTGGCTGGTTCAGCCATTAAGCATCTGACTCTTGGTTTCGGCTCAGGACATGATCTCAAGGTCGTGAGACAGAGCCCCACATCAGGCTCTGTGCTCGTGTGGAGTCAGCTTGAAATTCTTTCCCTCCCCCTGGTCATGCTCTCTCTCTCTCTCTCTCAAATAAAAAGAATCCAAAATAAATAAATAAATAAATACTACAACGGAAATTTATACCATGCCTCTGACATCAAAAAAATGAAAACAATTTCATATGGGACAAAGGTCCTCAGGCCAGATTGCATGATAGCTCTAAGGACCCACGGATAGATTAACAGTCTGAAAGTTGTAGTCAAAATGTATGTGTGTGTGTGTGTCTGTGTGTGTGCACGCACACGCGCACACATTGTTCTCAAGAGAAGCCCCATAATGTTCATCACATTTGCAGAAGGGTTCATGACTCCAGAAAGGCTAAGAACCACTGATGTAAGAATAGTTTATTTTAAAACTGAACTTAAAGAGAATAATACATTCCTTTAAGCCGAATGCCGTGCTGACTGCCACACGGACAGTGTGTAATAATCACCGGTGTTCAAAATGATGGCCTTGAGACACAATAAAAGCTTCAGTCATCAAAGAAATTTATTGTCAAGGTATTTTACTTACCTGACACGGGACAATGTACCAGTCTTTCAGAAAGATCTGAATATTGAAATAAAATAAGAAGAGGTTTCTGGTTTTGTTTAAGCTGGCTGGACAATTCTCTGTGTGCTAAGAAAGATGAATTGCATGTAGGAAAATACTCATTGTTTCTGGGAACACAGTTAAGGTCTGCTCAGCTGTGAGGAGGCAGAGAACGAAGGCCTGGACCAGAAGTGTAGCAATGAGATGGGGAGAAGGGACTAGAGAGGTAGCTGGCAGGAACCTGGGATCAACAGACCAAAGTACTGGGCGTGGACAACTAAATTAATGAATGCATGTT